CTCTCTCTCTCTCTCTACCTCTCTCTCTCTCTCTCTCTCTCTCTCCCAGTTTGACGGTGACTATGCAGACTTCCAGATCCAGGTTCAAGGTGTGTTCCGGTCTCTTCAGGCTCTGCTGGACTTCTGGTTCCATCAGTCTGTCAATGTGAGTCCAACACGATGAGAACTAGACCCAGAATCTGTTCTGGGGACCAGAACTGACATGTTTGTGTTCCAGACGGAGCGGATGCTGCAGCTGCTGCAGGTGTTTGAGTCCGGTCCGACGGCTCGTCTGGACCTGAACCAGCACTACCTGGTGCTGCTGCAGCGCTACAGCAGAGACCTGGAGCTGCTGAGGAAGACCTACCAGAGACAGAGAGACAGACCGCCCACCGGACGCAACCTGCCCCCGGTACCAACACCTGTCTGTCTCTCTGTCTCTCTGTCTGTCTCACTTCCTCGACTCCTCTGGTTGTATAGACGTCTGTGAGAAGATGACTCTACTTCTCTCTTGATTTATTACCTCAGTAAACATCGAATCAACACAAAATAAAACAGAAAGCAAATATGACGTTTAGATCCCTGATCACGTGTTTTTTCTGTAAACCATACGTAAGGTTTAAACCTAACCGTGTCAGTAACATCCCTCTCAGGTGGCAGGGAGGATCCTGTGGTGTCGTCAGCTCTTCAGGAAGATTGAAGCTCCCATGTTGATCCTGAAGAAGAAGCTGGACGTCCTCAAGGTACGACCTCCGATTCTAATCACATCAATATCACTGATCAATACGACCTCGGTGACCCGTCTCTCCGTCAGGGACCAGAAGGGACCAAAGTGATCCGCAGCTACAACAAGATGGCCGTGGTGTTGCTGCACGACGAGCTGCTGCACCTGCAAGGCTGGAGTCAGGCTGCAGAGAGCGCGCCGCGCTGCCTGAGCGCCGCCCTGCTGGTCCGACATGAGAACAGCAAGGTGACCGATGACGCAACAGTGGATCAGTGGATGTGATGAGGGTCACCTGGTGTTTCTGATTTAATGATTAAGTAAATAACCAAATGTTTGGGATGCAGATTAGATATAATAAACTATTCGACAAGCTAGCTAGCTAACTAGCCAGCTCTGGAGAGGTTAGCTAGTATATATACGTTCACGCTCCTGACGGGACAGTGTGTGAGGAACTGTCTGTTTCCCAGGAGGTCCTTGTGAATCTGGACCCGGTGGTGCTGGAGGTGCTGCAGGAGGCCCGATGGATGACCAAACTAGGGGTCACGGTGCCAAAAGTCGTCCTCAAAATGACCTCCAGAGAAGCAGAGATCAAAGCTCTGTACAAGCGGTGAGAAGGACAGTTCTCTCTCTGCTGCTTCCTTCTGGTTTCAGAAGATGAATCAGAGAGTTTTAACTCATTAGACTCATCAGTCAATACTCTGGTTCATTCACGCTCTGATTTTCATTTGTGTGCATTTTCTACATTTCATTTGAGCTGAGTTCTGACTGGTCTTAACCTTTGTTTAAACATGTGTTGTCCTTGATTCTCTGGTTCTCTCCGCTCTGCTGGTCCAGGCTGCTGGAGTTGCTCCAGGACTTCGGCTCGGTGGTGGCCAGGATCCCGTCTCTCCTCCTCCCTCTGATGCGGCCCTTCGTCGGCCGGGTGGAGGCGTCTCTCTCCCCCGGACTCACCACGCTGTCCTGGAGCGCTCTCAACACGGACGACTGTAAGCGGGAACAGACGAGCTGACGGTCGAGACGGAAACAGAGTAGTGAAAAGAGAACCTGATTCTCTGTCCCGTTCAGTCCTAGAGAATGTGTACCGGGCTCTGAGGGATCTGGATCAGGTGTCCAAAGGAGCCACGGACCTGCTGGAGTGTCGCGTCGGCCGGCTGCTCCAGACCATGTCGTGCTGCTGTCTGCTGGTCCTGCCTGGAGACGCACCTGTCTCACCTCAGGACCTCCTGCTGCAGACAGACAGCTCAGTCCAAGCTGCTGCTGTCTGTCTGAACTGGTAGGGCCAATCTGTGACCCAGCTGGGGGCCGTGGAGTTGCATTGTGGGTAATGTAGGCTCCAGGTTTTGAGAGAAGAAGAAGAACGTGTGGAATGAAACGGATATCTCTGATTCTGCTGCAACAATTTATATCATTTTTGTTTTTAACTCTTTGTGAGTCTGAATATAAACCTGTGTGTGTGTGTGTGTGTGTGTGTGTGTGTGTGTGTGTGTGTGTGTGTGTGT